ATTCAGTTAACCTTAAATTAAAGCATATTGTCTGGTTTTAGTATACTTAATTTTTTCTATTTCCCACTCCAGTTTATTATCAATTGCAATTCTAATGTATTGTATCGATTATTATCATTATTTATAACATAATTAGCATCATTACTGAAGATGATCCAGTCTCTAACATCAAAGACAGAAATTCTTAAAGAATTCTTCATCATCATTGAGCTTACTGGCATGGACAAATGGGTTAAGTGCTGTGTTTGATACAGCAATAGATTCTACGTCACTCAAATCATGAATATTAACATGAAAACAAGGGCGTGTGTGTTAATGGACATAGTGTACTGTTGTACTGTTTCTCTGAGGGTTGTTTGTACTTTCTGATGAGATTGTGTTGGTGGAATTTTTATTTTAATAGCTGGTGCAACGTTGTCATCATCCCATGTACAGTAGTGGTAGGTAGTAGCTTAAAATGTAACGCAAGTTGGCGTTGGCCAGCAACTGTACCTGACGGTATGTTTGTACCAAATGGTACATCTCCCAAAAATTTTAGAATCTTCACAAGTATGAAATACTGATAAGTTATGAAAAATGTGGCTGTGAGTGGAATACATAACTCTGTTAACAAAGTTCGGCAAGTTACTGTGCGTTGTTGAAGAGCAGTGAAGTGAGATGGGGTGGAGTGGTGGTGGTTGAAGTATTGGAACATATTTGGGAAATTTAGAAAGTGGATATATTTGCTCTACTGAGTGCTCTTGTTATTTTTATGTTTTTTTTTGTTCAAGGAAGTATTGGTTTGTTTGATATAGTGAAAGTCTTCCTCATTTAAAAAAAAACATTCTTAAAAAATGAGGAGTGTTTTTCCTAATTATTCCCTGTAGATCTTGTTTAGGAATTTTAACCTTTTCCTTGTTTTAGGATTTACATTTCTACTAATGGTTTTACTAGTAGACACGCTAAGGAGGATAATGGATTGGATCATGCTATGATGAAATATAGACAATGTTTCAAATTCAGTTAACCTTAAATTAAAACATAATATCAGAACAAGCGCATGTGTGTTAATGTACATACTGTACTGTTGTACTGTTTCTCTGAGTGTTGTTTGTACTTTCTGATGAGATTGTGTTGGTGAAATTTTTATTTTAATAGCTGGTGCAATGCTGTCATCATCCCATGTACAGTAGTGGTTAGCTTAAAATGTATTGCAAATTGGCATTATCACATTTGCCAGCACCTGTACCTGAGAGTGTGTCTTTGTATTTAAAGCGAAAATCTCCCAAAAATTTTTGAATCTTCACGAGTATGAAAGACTGATATGTTATTAAAATGTGGCTGCGAGTGGAATACATAACTCTGGTAACAAAGTTTGCTTTTGGTTACCTCGTATTCAGTACTTCAACCTCAGTATGATGTAATACTGTAGCTTCATTTGAAAGAAGCCAAATGTAAAAATTAGTAAAAAAAAATATAACATTCTCACTGATTCGGGGTGGTTTTCGGTTCAGTTGGTACAATCACTTCGCTGATAAAGACCTGTGCACCCATTACATCTTTTGGAAGGGCATGTGCTTACCCTCATGCTCTGATTCACATTATTCACATGCATTATTCCACTTGTTGTTCCCAGGGTTTGTTTCAGTTGGCTAAAACTATAATAATTTTCTTTGTTTTAGTTATATACAGAAGATGGAGAAAATGGATACCAATACACTTTTTGAGCAGTTCACTGTTGATGAGATTCGACAAGTAGAACGAAACACAAGGTAAAGGATCTACTGTAAATGGAATAGGGAGAGCCAGTGGGTTGGAAGAGGTCAAGAAGAGGTCTAGATAACACAGCCTAGCATAAAGCCTGGTTTCCTTAAAATCGCTACACTGTCGCTACAGTGTTTGCAGTGGAATTGTTGCACTGCGTAGCAGTCCTTGCAATCGGAAGACTCCCCGATTCAACCTACCAATCAGCATCACCGAAAGCTGTCGGCAATAGCGTGTAGCGATTGTATGGAATCAAGCTTAAGAATATATGACACATTGACTAAGGAAAGGGCTAATATTGAAGTTATCATAAGATACAGTATGGTACAATTGGCCTATGGGGAACTAATAATGAATTAAAACATAATTACATTTATGGTCCTGCTTTACTTCTGAAAAAAATGTGAAATATTATTGGCTAATATTAATGAATGTGATTGAAGTGTATTGTTTTATTTGTGAATAGTAGGCCCAAAGAGTATAGAACTACAAGAGGTCTGACTGGCTTGATTTTGCAAAAACAAAGTGCTACCACAAGATTGGGGTGCCTCTATTAGAATTTGAATAAACTTCGAAACTCGAACCATGCATTCTTTAGATGCAGCACATGTTCGATATGAATGACTCACTTTTTTTTAAAGGATGTCTTTTAGTTTGTGTTAGTACTTTTTGAGATAAGATTGTGTTTCAACTATACTTTGAGTTGGACTTCTTTCAGTTCTATACTCTTTGGTGTGCCATCTGAGATTCAAATTATTACCATAGATTTTCAAAATCTGCTCTTGCGAAAGTTAACATGTTACCTGTTTATGAATATATATGGTGCTATGGGAAGACATTTTTTGATTGCTTATATTGAAAGTGAAACAGTTATTTTTTTTTTTTTATTATTATCTATCATGTATCATGGTCAATTACGAGCATTGTGTCCTTTTTACAACGTTCCTCTTTGTTATACTTAGGGCTGATATTGAGAAGAAGAAGGAAGATCTAAGACTGATGGTTGGTGAGCGATATCGTGAACTTATTGAAGCCGCAGATACGATTACAGACATGAAGATATGCTCAGACAGGGTATGTATTCAGTGATGGTGCCAGTGGGGAGGGAGCTTGCTATCTTTATTCAATTACTCTACCTTCTTAAATAAATGAAAAATAAATAGAGCATTGACATAGCAGGCAGAGTGGAACAGCACAAACATGAAAGTCCATAAATGGCTGGTCCTAGAACATGTACAATTACAGAAACAGTTAGACATTCACATGTTCCCGGGACCCAAGCTTACCAGGAGGCCCATAGAAATTGCAAGTAGCCTTTTTTTTTCTATATTTTTTTCAAAAATTATTAATTACTATTATGGGCCCTCAATAATGGCATGGGTCCCCTAATAATGGGCCCCTCCAGATTGACAAGGCCCCCTCAAAAAAATTGTTTGCGCCATAGGCGTAATCTTTCCCGCCCTTCGTGCACGTAAGTGGGGGCCCACACCAACCCTTGCCCCTGTTACAGTTTCCCCTCTTGGTGGCCCTGTGGCTTGGGACAGGTCACTGCCCTCCCCCTATCAGGTGCTTTTTATAAAAATTAACTGAAGTTTAAAATTAACTCCAGATGAATATTTTTCAACATTAACCTGTTCTAGTATCATTTGTTATTATGACTTTCAAATTAATTTACTTATCTATATATGTTTAATTTCAGATTGTAAAGTCAGTAAAGGAGATGCAGAATTATTGTACTACTCTGCGAACAACGCATTTAACTAAGGGAATTGGCACCGCAATCAGAACACAAGCTAAAGACAAGTGTGTAACATTTCTTCAATAATAACAATAATTATTTCCACATATAAGCAAGTGCAGATCCAGTCACTTTAATGTATATCAATATTACGTATCGAAATAAGTGCTGCTCACTTATCTATTCTGAATATGTTCTGACTTAACCCCTCCCTTCCCCCCTCTGATATATTAATATAAAAGTGTATAACAGTAACTGATAAATCAAGCATACCGGTAAAAGTAATTTATACTATGACAATTGATATTATAGTACATACATTTAAAAATTAAGCATAGCAAATTTCTGTAAGATTTTAAGGTGCACTAACCAGGGGCCCCAAGTTAATTCTAGATCTGCAGTGATGGATCCAGGAATTCAAAATAGAGGGGGCTCTGGTAGAGACTTTCACAGATGCAGGGTGTAGGGCACCTCATCCCCACCATGATTGGGGTGGAGGTAAGAAAATTTATGATTATGATGCCTCTAGATTAAAAAATTTAGTACGATGGGGTGTTCCTTTCCAGGAGATTGTTGATTGTTTGCAGGAGTGTGGGAAGACGTCCCAATTTCCTGGAAACTCCCATGAGGCACGGGAGACTTGTGACCCTGGACTAATTATCTCACTTTTTTTTCTTTTTTTTTTATTCAGGACTTGCAAGAGCACCTTTTATTCCATTGCATCACAGATTAAACTTCTCCTTGACATGCCAGAAAAAGTAAATCTCAACTTGTTATATATTCACCTAATTATGTGCTGTCTCTAATTTTTTTAATCAATGACTTCTATTATGTTTACCATACATTATGTTACCAATATAATTATGCCAAATTTAAATACATGATATCTATTTTCACTATGCATAATTTTAACATATTTACATAGTTCAACTGACATAATTCTACCATAATTTTACTATAATTTCACTATGTACACATGTGTTACATATACAGTTTTCTCTTACAGTGTTCAAATGATTTTAATATCTGTATCATTTCTTTTAGATTCATGTAAATGTTTGTCTTCTTTTTTTTCTAGATTTGGGGTGCAATAGAAAACAGACAGCATCTGCGAGGGACACAACTGTATCTATTAGCTTGTCATATCATGAGTAGTCTGCAGCTTGATGGCGTTAACCAACAGTCCACGCAACTGTTAACCTGGTTCCCAATATTGTCACGCCAGTGGGCAGCTGTTAGTCATTTTAAAGCTAGTATATTACAGGTAGGTAGGTAGTTGTGATATCTGGATCTGATAGTATGCAATTATAATCAAGTTCTGAGTTCTAAAGGACCATTAGTTCCTGAAAAAGACAATTTTTAAGGGAATACCATTTTCGATAGCGTCCAAAATTAACTTGACAATAATTGTCATCTTGTCTTATATAATATCTAGGCTATACTGTAGTATTTAATGAAGCTTTCAGTTGTCATCTTGTTTTATATAATATCTAGGCTATACTGTATTATATCATCAACTTTCGGTAGCGGTGACGGTGGTGGCATTTCCCCAACATTCACTCCCCTGTGTGCCTTCAGAGCTCTGCCTAGCAACAAAATATTCATTATGATGTAAAAACCACAGTTTAAGCTTTTATCACACAAGACGCAAAAAATCAGAGCCACTATTGAATTAGTGCCTGTTCAGGGATAGGAAAATTATGTGCAAATGGTAAACTGTATTAATTCAATAATTGGCAAGTAAAATGTGAAAGTTTTACCAGCCCTATAACCATTACCTTTTCAAATTTGGTGGGGCGGTGTCGGTGCGCCCATCACAGTTGATAATGTTTTTTTATCCCCATATTATGCATTTTTTAGGTTTTTGGCTGAGAGGGATCCTATGGATGTAATCTCTCATGTGAATTGATCATATACCCACCCCAAACTATGTTTAGAAATATGAAATTATTATGAGAGTATATGCACTGTATCCAACTATGAAAAACAAATTGGAAGAGAGCATCCACCAAGCATTGAAAAGTTGGCATTCAACCATTCACAGAAGACAATTATGCATATTTAATTACTTTCCTTACTGGTGGAAGCACAAGAATACAATACCAAGTTTGGTTTTGGACAAAGTATAATTATTGAAAGGATTGCATTCTTTTTCATCCTTAAGTTATATTATGATCATGACTTTAAAAGTTGTGGTCATAATATGAATTTTAGATTGTTTGAAAGTTTGCATGGCGAAGTAATAACATGTGTTTAAGCTTGCGTTACACCATGTGTAAGTAGTTCTGAAAAGAACTGTTGTAGTTGAGAAAGTCTCAACGTTTCGATTGAGTTGCTTCAGTCGTCTTAAGGAGGATAATATTGGCCCAGCCTATGTGGTAGATGGTGTGATAAGGGAACAATCTGGTTTCTGGCTAGCCATCAGTTGAAATAATTTATTTTTCGAGCTTTTCAGTTTCGTTTTTGGAAAATAACTGTAAAAGACAGGGACTATGAAAAAATCATACTTTTCTGGTGCGTGTTGAAACAATCAAAGAGGATTAAGTCAGAGGATTAAGTGATAAAAAATGCTCCCTGCTGCAAATGCATGCTGCTTTTGCTCCTCCAAAACACTGCAATTTGCAGCGTTGGATTATCAGCGGATATCAGCAGGTGGTCCGTGTTTAACGCCTGTTTGGACTAGAACTGGAAATGGCCGTTTCCGGATTTATCCCGTGTTAGACTCCACAAAATACTCGCCCGAATAGACCCTATAACACTCTATGCTAATCTGAATCTAAATAAATACAGAGGACCCCTCTGGAGTACATGTGTCAGTGTGTGTCATCAATATGCAAGCTATTTTATTTTATTTTATTAGTCGACTTCCTTATGTTATGGTCACATTAGACTGTAATATTAATAATTAAGACCTTTCAACAAACAACATAAAACATATACATATCAAGGTTTAAATTACCACATCAATGCATTTCCGAAAATTTAAATATGAGATTGATAATAAATCGTTCTCTACTATTTTATGAGTGGACTTCCTTATGATTTAAGGAATTATAATTTTAAATCAGTCTGAAGCTACCATGTTAAAGTGTTCTATGGTTAGAAGTTAAAGAGTGGACTTCCTTATGTTGTGGTCATATTAGACTGTAATATTATTAACATAAGACCATTCAATAAACAACATAAAACATACACATATCAAAATTATTAGGTTAATCTTTCCGCTTCGGTGAATGCATAAAACAATTTGGAATTTGGATGTAATATGAGATTGATAATCAATCAAAATTCTCTGAACTATCTATGCTAAACATTTGAAGAGTGGACTTCCTTATAATTTAATTTTATATAGAAACTCAGAAATAGTGGGTTGGTGTCCAGTTGGGACATATTTTAATACGTATGTATATATAAATACAGTTATATAATATTATACAGTAAATCAGGTCAAACTCATTTTTAAAATCTTTTATATATAGTAATAATAATATTGTTAGTCTTATTGAGCACTTAATACAAAATATGGTTCTAAGTGTTTTTCACAAAATGAACTCAAAAAATGGATTGAAACCATAAAATATCCCAACAGTAACCAAAAATGAAAGATACCGACTAAATGCAGAGGAACCAGTTTCACCGCTCCGTTCTCCAGCACTCTGAAGCTCCCATAATTGTGAGGTTGCCAGAACAGAACTCAAAGGAGCATTGAGTGAAAATGTCATCTGACTACATGTTATATGTTATAGCTTGTTGGATAATCATTTGAAAAAAATATATTTTTAAAATTTTATTTGATTATACTAACAATGACATTTCATTTTTTTTCTAAAATATAGAGCTAATAAGAAGTTAACATAGCCTCCTAAGTCGATAATTGATGAATAATAAAATTATTTAAGTAATTTTAATGGAATTTAAACTTCTAAATGCTTTCTTTTTCTCAGAGTTGTAGAAGTATGTTGAAGGATTCAGTTATGTCGGATGAGGTTAGTAGTGCTAACAACTGTTAGAATTCTGTAAACTGACCAATGTATCACTTGTATTATAATGCAACATTTCAAAGAACACCTGATTGGTTATGATAACAGGTCATGTCAGGCCACAACTAAGCAGTAGCAAGAGTTTCTAGAATGAATGACCAATGAATGACCTGTATTAATGTATTGTGTCATTTCAATGAACACCTCATTGGTTGAGATCGTAGTTCATTTTACCGGGTGCATATGCTAGGCCATCTACTGTCAAGAAAATACATGTTAAAACCATTGCAGAGATAATCGTTAAATACAATCAAAATAACTATTTACCATGATTCACATTCTATAGTTTAGTTTCTTATAATATTGACCTCCTTGTATTGACAATGTATATTAATTTGGAGTATTTGTGGTTGTTTTTGTTGTCTGTATGCTTGATTTTGCCCATGAAAGTATATATTACATTTCCAAATTTATGCATAAACTAATGTAAAAAATCAAATAATAAAAATATTTTTATTTTTCCTGCAGGACACATCAGAAGCACTTTGCTCCATTATTCTCCTGGAAGATAGCTCACCAAGACAAGTCTTCACAGAGTTCCTTCTTGCTAGGAAGGTCAGCTTACTATTCTATACAACTACCAATTAATACAGACATATTATATAAATGATCAAATAAACACCTTTCTCGAATGTTGTTCTTGAATATGCGCGCATCAAACTTGATTTTTTTTTTAAAGTGTATATTTTAACTGCTTGCTTTAGCTGTTAGTGACAAAATGTTTATGTTATATATGATGAAACTTATATTTTGATATTTTTGTTTATTTACAGACAGCTGTTCAGCATTGTTTTCAATCAGCACATCATGGTATATAGCACCCTGATCTAAAAAGGGCTTTGTTGATACATATCAGCATATTATGTCTGTGACATCGAGTGTAGGACACATCATATTAATCCAGTAGTGGTGGGGTTCCCTGCCAGCCAGGATCCCCCTTACATTTATCCAAATTTTTTTTGTAAATGGAAATCAAATATTCAAATTTTAAGTCTGAATAAGTGCCATTCCCGGGCATCTATAGAGGTGTGATAATTATTATTTTGCTTTGCGACTCCCAGTATAGAATAGACTATAGGTCTTTGATTAGACTTTTGCGACGCGTGTGAGGGGTGTCTAAGGGAGGGGGAGAATAGCATCTGTCATGTCAAGTCAATAATTTTGTTGAGGAACACTGCTTTGAAAAGGCATTTTTACCCTTTTTAGCATTTTGTTTTTTGAGTTTTAGAAAATTTCAGAAAATTTCTTGATCCGCCTCTATTCCACATATCAAGCGCCCTGAGCATCTTACATTAGATGGATATGTGCACTATATAAAACTATACTATTATTATTATTATTATTACTTAACTGTTAGTATGAATGAATGTAATTAATGCTTAATGCATGGAAATAACAATTTTTTTTAATTAAAAATAAAAAAAATGTTTGCATATTCCAGGTGCTAGTATTAAGCAGCAAGTTTGCAATGTAATCCAGCTGATCTCAACCACCATACGCCAAATCTATACAATCTTCTACTGCGATGAGAACAAATCGGGAACTTCCCCTATTGAGAAGAAGCAAGGGGATTCCCCCAAATCAGACCTGCTTCTGCATACGTTAACTGCAGTTACTTCACTACCAAAAAATGGTAAGATGGAAAAAAAATTACGAAAAGTTTGTGTAAAATTTGTGTGTGGAATTGTTGTTAACAAGAATGAGATTTTTGGTGAAGCCGATATTCATACTTTTATTTAACTTAAAAAATAACATCCTAGTTTCTTGTTCTTTTGGTATTTTAACACCGGTTTTAAGCGTGCGGTTTGCAAAATGAAATCCTGTAGACCCATTTTTTAAACTTTGTTGCGTTTTTTATCTATTTTACCAATCTTTTTATTGGCTATTTTAATCTGATGTGTCGTCTTCGCCTTTGTGCTGTTTTGTTAGTTATTGTTTGTTTGTTTGGCCAGGGGGTTTAGAGGATACCCACATCTTGTGTTAGGCTCTCAGTCCATGGCATCCTCTTGGCACCCCTCTGGCCATTTTCTGATTTGTTGTGCCGAATATGTAATAAGTAAATAATAATCTAAAAATCCTTAACTCTGCATCCTCTAAAATTCTGTGATGTAGTGCCAAGGCGAGACTTTATTTATACCTTGTTTCACAAACTTTTTTTTTAAGATCATCAATGGAGGGCAGCAAACACAAAAATAAAATTTTGTTTTCTTGTATTGCAAATAGTTTTTCCAAAGACATCCAGATGGAAGAAAAAATAAGCTGCTGAAGATCATGAAAATCCCTGTCCCAAAAGTGGTCTTTAATTGGAGGGAGACATTTAATAATATTAATGTGAAGAGGAAGATTAAATATCACCATCATTGTTTAATAACACTATGGGCAAATGTTTTTTAAACATTAAACAGTAATTCAAGAATTTAAATGTATCAGTTTTTTTCATGCATTATTTTCAGATTCAGAAGACTTACTTGCTAAAGAAGTAATGGGTGGATCATATACGAAGCATCTTCCTGCATCAATAACTGGTACAAACCAAAGTATTTCATCAACGTAAAAATATTATATTAATAATAATGATAATAATAAATGAACATTATATAGCAGTAGTGAAATTTTGTGACACTAAGTTTCAAATCCACCTACTGTTTTTCATGTCTGGGGGGGATGCAGGATTTGGCAGTAGGGGGTGCATGAGAGTCCACACCACCTGAGTCCCACCATGGTTGGGCCTTTGGTGAGAAAGTTTTGAGAATATGGACCACTAGAGGCCCGGAAATTGCACTATCGTATGTTAAAAATTTTACCAATAATTCATATCGGCAGTATAATACAACAATTATTTTTCTTAATACAATTTAGGGGTGTGTGACTGCACCGTCTGCACCCCCTTGCATCCGCCCCAGCGTGTGGAATGCGTTATGTAAGAGATGTGATTTTAAGTTCTCAAGTGGTGCAGAATCTTAAAGATGATGGTGGGCTATTACAGACTTCAGCAGTTGCTTTCTTGAAAGATCTTTCACCCCATTTGTTCTCATATTGTAGTGACATTGGTAAACACTGATTACCCACATAGTGTGAACACCCGACATGTTCATGCCTTGCGTGAAACTCGCACCAGGTTTGAGTCACATCTGACTGGAGCGCTAGTCTGAGTGGTGCCTTTTAAAAGAATATGTTACATACGTGATTTATAGACTGCTAACTTTGATTTTGTCTTATAATGATGTAAAGGATTTAGACCAAGTCTGCGGACACCAGGTGTTGCTATCTCTGCACAGTACCTGCATCAGAGTGTGGAGGAATGGGTTGACACCTGTGTTCAGGATGTACATACAGGAGTCGGCAGACTATTCAACTACATCAACACCATCAAAGGCTTGACTTCCATACGTGATGCATTATGGGAACTACTCAAACAAGTATGTAAAGTTTAGGATCATTTTTTTTTATTAAAATTGTATTATTCAATATGAGGACTATTGTTATAATTGAGTGTGTGGATATGCAATGTGTTTGAGTTTGTTCTTCAAGTAAGCTGCCACCTTCAAGATTTTGCAACTCTTTTGATATGGTATGCAGCGATATGTAATTTTTCGTGTACTATATACACATTCAGCCCCTGCTGTGGACAGACGAGAGTAGCGGGTACCGGTTTACCGGGTAGCTCAGACACGAGGAGACCCTAAGGGAAGAAGCAAGTTACTGCACGAGCTATTCCACACCTTGAGTGCTTTGAGACCGTTTTGTTTTAAAGTGCTATATAAATCTAACTACAGTACATTACATTACATATCTTATAATATAAGTGTGTTGTGTTTGTGAGTATTTAACGTGAATGTGTGTTTCATGGCTTGTGACTATGTGTGGATAATATGTATGGAGCTACATGTAATGTATGCTGTTATGTGTGTTAACTGTGTGGGGTAGTGCCTGTAGCTTTGCTTTGCCAGAATATTCAAGTCACATGATGTTCTTTCAGGATGAAGATGTAGTGGACTGGAAAGTAGCATGTAAGAGCATTATGAACCAACCATTATCTCTGTGGGGGGAGTTTGTTCGACCGCTGTTCCTGAACAGAGCCCAGGTAATCAATTATTTTATTCGCTCTTGCCTACATCTCCCTGCCTAGAGCATGATTTCAGAGCTGTATTATTTTTTCTTTCTGCCTTCTGACCTGATCTCTGCACCCTCACTATCTGTGTTCTTCTTTTGTCTCTTTTTGCTATTTTTTGTATTACATCTTCTATGACTCTGTTGTCTTCCTTGCTTCCTAATTCCTGACCCTATATTTTTCTTGTAACTGCCATCTTTGTTTATCATCTTTGTTTATCATTTTGTTTTAAATATGTATAATTTGGTACATCATTTTTTGTGTATGGGAAGACAAAATAACTTTGCATTAACAAAGTTAATGCATATTTTTATTTTGTAGGCCATTATACAAGATGACTTAGATAAAACCACAACAACCATACAGAACACTACTAACCAGGTGATCCAAGAGATAAACTCCAATCCAGATGAAAGGGACATTGCTGGGTTTGTGTGGACAGAGTCTGCTAGTGACATGCCAAATGCAGCAGCCTGGAGTGGAGGCTCAAGCAAGTTGCCTTCTGATGCTGGAGGACTTTACATGAAGACTAGAGCGTATACAAATCAAGTACAGAGGTACACATTGACATGATTTTCACGATGATGAAAACAACGATGAAGATAAATGCTGAAAAGAATAATGAAGTTGTTAATAAAAATGGCAATGAAATTTATTTTTATTTTTATGACTATAATATGAGAGAAAAATGATGAAGAGAATAACAATAATTATGACTATAAGATTGATGATGATGATAAAAATGATAATGTTCAAAGACGAAATAAATTAAAATAGAAATGTCTATGTCAGTTTCGGCAGATTATTCCATGTATCAATGCAATCACTTTCTCTACTTAAATTATATATATTCAACAATGTATGTCTGTACTTACAGTCTCTGCTCAGCGTTTAATACAAAACTACAGAAACTACTAGAAGACTTGTCCATCTACACACAACAGGCAGACAAGAAAGAGAACAAGTACCAACTTGCTGGCAAATCAGGATTAAGTATGTGTGGGCCATTTGATCGTTATTCCGACACAGAAACTCTTCATAGCTTCTTGCAGTTGGCATGTACCAAGTGTGTCCATAGGTTAGTGATATGGTCCCATTAATGATTGTTTTTTATAATATATTTTACCCACTCTGGCAAAAACCTACTTATGTTGGGACAAAATCTCATGAACACACTAAGGAAAGTCAAATGGCCGAGCGGTTAAGGTAGGGGCACAACAACCTACAGCCACAATGTCAGCGCTGGTTCCGGTGGTGAAACAAGTCTTCTCAGATCCAGTGTACACAGTTCGTTCTTCTCTTGCGCACTTTAAAGAACCCAGTTAATCCTTTGAAAAGAGTAGGGAGTTACCCGGTGTACCGGTCCACGGAGTGCCTGTCATTGTGGACAGACAAAGTGCACCTCTTGGCAGCTGATTGGACATGGTGTGACACTTATAATGAGTTAGTCCACACCTGTGCACAATTCAGCCTAATTGAAGCTGCAAGTCACAGGTTATTTTTATACTATTACCTTGTAGGTGAATCTATAGATTTTTGTTTACTGTATCCGCCAATAACAGGATAAATTGCTCAGGATTTTAGTACATTCTACCATTGCCAGTGAGGATGTGTAAATATGAGCCTATGCCCTGTATCAGTCTATCCAGAGTTCTGAAGTTTGGATGCTGCAAAAAATCTGGAAGGCATGGCCACCAATTATATAAATTACACAATGTTAGAACAAAAATACAAATATAATTTTTTTTTTTTCTTCAGAATCATTGATCATGTGAGTTCCCATCTTGACACCTGTCAAAAACACCTTGCTGAGAAGAAACAGCAACCAGAGGAATGTACCATTGTTGTGGATAGGTAGGTTCATTCATCCTATATTTTGGTATATCATTGAATAGTTTCCAGTTCAATACAATAACAAAGGCGTTTTCCCCTCATCTATTTTTCTTAGGTCTGTGGCACTTGGTAGGATCTGTTTGGCATTGACGGAGTTGGCTCCAAATCTACAAATCTGTGTTACCATTGCAGATCAGAAAGACACAAAGCAAAGACAGACCAGGTATGGTGATGTGGTTATGGTGCTCATGCTATAAGAACTCGCTTCAGTACATCCCAAATTGATTCTCAAAACTAATAATACATCGCATTAACATGTTTGCAGTGGATCATGTTCTATTGGGGAATTTAGATTTAAAGATGTAGCTGTTTAAATTAATCAGTTTCACTGCTGCTCAAAACAAATTAAATAATAATAATAATAATAATAATAATAAATGAAATATATAGGGCCAGAGTCCTCCACGCAATGTCGCACTCATTGCGCTTTGTGCATTAACAACAGGAGAAAACATCAATGAATAGTGATGTTTTCAAGTTATTTTTGAAAGTGTTCATTTCGTAATTCATAATTTTATTTTACTCAAGACACTAATAGCTAACAAAAGGAACCGGTCCCTGTAAAAAGTACCTATCAGAATAACAATTCAATAATAAATAACTCAAAATAAATAGTAATATTAATAGGCCAATGTTATACATAAGTTAATACAGTAATTACTAACAATAAAAATAAATAAAAAAATTAATGAATTAATAAAAAATAAATAAAAAACTACGTAAAAAAGAATAAGTAAATAAATAAGCAAGACATAAATAAGTAAATAAAAGAAGCAAGTGGCTTAACGCAGGTGGTCGAGAGCAGTTTCAAAGGAAGAGATCGACATGATCTGTTCCAGATGATTAAAATATATGAAAGAGTGAGAAGTGGTATGCATTGCATCGAGCATGGGAAGGTGAAGTATGGGATGAGGTCGACTTGTATTAAATAAAAAGTGAATCATTTTTAATAATACCATTAATGATTTTGTATAGGAATATAAAGCAAAGAAAAATTCTTCTTTGTTCTAATGTGTTTAGTTGAAGGTAATCAAGCCTGTCTTTTTTATTCAGTATTATAGTGAGGATTGTTCGGATATCTAGCAGAGTTTAGGAAAAAATTTGGTAAAGTGCTTCTGCATTGATTCAATTTGGGAAATGTTAGTTTAAAGATGTGGATTTCAAGACTAGAAGATCATTTAACTGTTGCTGGTAAACTGTTACATACAGTTGCGACTGCAACATAAAATGGTCTCTGACCCCGCCCATTTTTGGCCCTACACTCTTGAAGCATGTTTTAGGACAATGATCATAGGCCTCCACGAGATGGTTCATAACGATCCACAAGGGCAGATAAGTATGCAGGAGCGCTGTCATTCAAATTCTTGTAGACAAACATTGCCAGTTGGTACATACATTGTTGAATAGGCAACCAGTGCAAATTCATCAAAACTTGAGTTATATGAACATACGATTTGGTGTAGGTTACATCTCTAGCTTCCATATTTTGCAAGCACTGCAAATGTTGTATTTGTGATTATGATAAATGCTTGCAGCACAAACCTTTATCCTTTAAACCTTCAAACAATATTTTAACAAAATCAGTTAATATATTTAAAGTATCACAAATAACTATAAATTAGAAAAGCAGTCGAAGTAGTCCCTTGGACTCTGAAACACATTTGAACTGTAAGACTGGTGTATAAATATTTCTGAAGTATAATGTATGTTACCTTGAAATCATTCATATTGAGGGTCCCAGTAATCATCACCACTAATATGAACTGATGATAATAATTTTACAGATTGTATGTTGTGCTATTCTGCTTTCATATAATGTCTTCTTATAAAAGTTTATGTGGTTTACTTTGTTTTTGTTTACTTGCTTTTGATATATACTGTATATAT